TGGTCATTGAGGAGCAAATGGGGGTGAGGTGAGTAGAGGACCCAGAAATTCCCTCACGCCCAGTCCAGTGCTTCATCCACTGGGCATTCACATTCTGAAGAAAGAGGCCAAATGGAAATCTACAGAAATATAGTCATTCTGTTCTCCTTGATCACCTTATTTACAAAAATGGAGGCTTGACTTCTTGTTACGTCAAAGTCCAGGGTTGCTTTTGACAACACAACCTGTTGATTGATGCAAGATGCTTTTGGGGTTTTGTTTTTTTTTTTTTGCAAGTTCAAATAAAACTGAAATGGAAGTTTTGTATTTGTGTCTCTGCCCCACTCTTCTGGCTTTTCATTTCTCTGAGCTCCGTGTTGCAACCAATGATGTTCGTGAATTGACCTTCTGGTTTATGTTAATTCCCTAGTTTATTTTTTAACATAATTCCAGGAATTGAGATGTACCAGTCCTCTACACTAACACATAGTCCATTAGAGGAGATGTTAGTCCAAGGCTCGGGGCATTAAGGCAAACCATCTCCGTGGCATCTTTGTGTGGATTGGGCTCACACCAAGGAAAGCTCTTGGCAGAGGCACTGGTGCCCATCCTGTTAGAGAGGATGCATGCTTGAGTTGGGGAAACTACCCTCTGCTTATAAAGACATGCTGCTCTTGAGGTGAAAGTAAGATACACAAAGAAACAAGATTACACAAGAATGTCTGTTTTCCTTGCTTATTTATCTCTCCAGATGTTCTCTTTGGCCTAGTCCAGCTTCCTTGGACTAGTTGTACTAAATGAAGAAAGCCATCATTACTGGGGGAGAATGCTATTGAAACCTCAGTGACTACAAGCTCTGAAAAAAAAAAAGAGTTTGAAGCAGTATCTACTTCGTGATTCTCTTTTTACTTAAAAATGAGATTCTAAGCAACTTTTTTAAAAAGCAAAACTGGCTGGTAGAAAATGAGATATTTTAACTCCTCATTTGGGCTTCATAAAATCCCTACCTTCCATCAAAGCCCAGCCCAGGTGCCAGCTTCTACACAAGGCCTTTCATGATCCCTCCTGTAATTGGCACACCCTCTCTTTTGAAATTGGGACAGCTAGGTGGCTCTGTGGATAGAACGCCCACCCTGGAGTCAAGAGGATCTGAGTTCAAACCCAGCCTCAGACACTTACTAGCTGGGTGACCCTGAGCAAGTCGCTTAACCCAGTTTGCCTCAATTTCTTCATCTGTAAAGTGAGCTGGAGAAGGAAATGGCAAACCAAACCAATATCTCTACCAAGAAAACCCCAAAAGGGATCACGAAGACACAACTGAACAATAACTTTATTGAAATCGTTTTATGCTTACTTTTTATGGACTTTGTCTTACTTGCATACAGGCTTTCTGTACCTTCTTGCTAGAATGTAAGCTCCATGAGGCCAGGGACTGTTGTGTTTTTGTCTTGGTACCCAGTACCTAGCATCATGTTGTACATAATAGATTATTTAATAAGCATTTTAAAGAATTAGATTAAATTAATGTAATTGATTCTCTACTGTGGTAACTATTAGATTCCTACTTAATTCAACCACAGAGAACAAGAGCATAGGATCATAGCTTTAGCATTAGCGAGGACCTTGGAGGCCAGGAGTCCAATGACCTTAGCAGGGCTTCAGGAAATCATATTTATAAAACAATAACATCAATAACAAAAAACACGCTTAGCTCTGTTTCCTCTTCGGAGGAAGACAATGGGGACGAAGGAGTGGAAGTCTGCCTCCAAACTGGATTAGCACACAGAGGGAGAATTGTTCAGCACAGGCAGTAGGCAGGTGAGCCCACATTTAATCACCAAAGCCAAAGACCCATTTCTAAGCCTGCAATGTGTTCCAAATGGCAGGAGTTACAGTATAGAGATTTTCAGCAAAAGCCCTAAATTGGGAGCTGCATTTTTTCAAGGTTCCACTCAGTCACTTCTTGGAGCTCTTACTCCAGAAGGCTTTTCTAAGTAAAACCTAAATCAGGTGAGGGAAGGTTCAGAACTGTCAATAGCTCCTGCTGGACGATGTGGACGGATGAGTCACATCTACTGGAGGATGGGAAGGGGGAAGGGGGAGTTGATTGAGCTAAGAGGGCAAAAAAAAAAAATAGGCAGAACCCTTTGAAAAGGGAAGAGAAGAAACATTTGCTAAGCCCTTACTGTATGCCGGGCACTGTGCTAAATTCTTTACAAATATCTTATTTGGACCAGGAGTTGGCAGCTGGCCAAGATACGGCCATCTTGACTAACACACCTTTCTCAGATTTCTATTCAGTGACAAACACAACACCTTACACACAGAAGGTGCTTAATAATCCAGTTCAATGAGTATTTATAAAATCCCTGTTATGTGCACTAGTCACTGGAGATACAAAATGCTTGTGCTCAGGGAGGCTATTGGTGGGCCAACATGTCCATAGATGAGTGAATACTAAAAGTAGCTTCAAGAGGGAGAGAGTTTTAAGAGGAAGAAGATGGGTACTCCTGGGAAAGGCTTTTGTTCAAGTACTATAGGTCAGCTACTATTACTGTTGTGGTTGTTGTTATGAGGAACACCTGGGCTGAGCCTTGAAGGAAGCTTGGAGCTCTGGGGCAAGGGTGGGGATGGAGTGCCTGGTGGCAGCCTCTGCAGCAGCACAAACAGGGAGGCTGATCCATCGAGTTCAGGAAACACTTATTAGGCCAGTTTGACTGTTCCATACATTTCCCTCAGGGAGTAAGATGACTAAAGCCTGGAAAGGTAGATGGGAACTAGATGATGCAGGGTTTTAAGTGCTGGGCTTAGAGGAGTTTGGATTCTAGCCTCGAGGTGATAGGGAACCAAGGAGCAGTTCTGTGACTCTGGGTTTCTTTGAGTCCTCTGGGCCCATGACGGATGACACTTGCTAGGAGAGATCGAGTGGTGCCTTGGTGCCCATTCTGACAGGCTCCACTCAGCCTGATTGAAACCCAGACAAGCTTTCAAAGCCTGGTGTTGATTTGGGGGTGTGATCATGACTTAATGAGAGCATAGCCAGATTTGTTCTAAAGGAGCTCATTCTCATTCTTCTCATGTCCATTCCATCATTGCCTATCCGATATGCCAGGGCACAGATTAATGTGCTTTAATTTCACAGGAAATTAATCAGAATCTAAAAAGCCCATTTGAAAACATGAAATTAAAAAAAAATTAAAACCTCTTCCTTGGGATTTCGACTATAAAACTCCTTTCACAGCCTCCTACAGTGTTCTGAACGTGGTGAGCACCTAGTCAATGTTGACGACAGACTGATTGGCAAGTGATGGTGGCTTGAACATTGGATAGAGGGTTGGATTCAAGATGACCTCAGTTCAAATCCTGCCCTGGACACTTATATGCTGTGTGCTCCTATGCAAGTCACTTTTTTCAGTCTGTTTCCTCCTCATCTATAAAATGGGATAATAATAGCACCTATCTCACTGGGCGTTACGAGGATCAAATGAGTTAATACATGTAAAATGCTTTACAGACATTAAAATGCTACGTAAGTCCTGGATATCGTTCTTATATTCTGAGGGTCTAATGTCCTTTTCGAAAGGGTCCATTTCAATCCAACAAATACTTATTAAGGGTCTACCATGTACATGGCCTGGCACTGGTCTAGGACGTGGATGTACAAGAACAAAAATGAAACAGCCCTGTCCTCAGAGAGTTGACATTCTTCTAGAGAATTTAACATGCGAAGAGATCAGTATAAACAGGGAGGGGCAGTTAAGTGATGCAGTGGACAGAGTTGCTGGGACTGGAGTCAGGAGGACCTGAATTCAAATCCAGCCTGAGACACTTACTAGCTGTGAGACCCTGGGCAAGTCATTTCACCTTTTTTGCCTCAGTTTCCTCATCTGTAAAATGAGCTGGAGAAGGAAACGGCAAACCACTCCAGTATCTCTGCCAAGAAGACCCCAAATGGGGTCACGGAGAGTCAGACAGGACTGAAAGGACTGAATAACAAGCAACAACAAAGATAATGTGGGCTCTTCTGTGGACCATGATGTATGATGGACAAATAGACCCACTGAAGCTTTGCAGATCATTTGTGCTGTTTGTGTTTTCATCAGATGAAACATCTATGGGCTGGCAATTGGCAGCTTCGTTTGGGACAGGGCAGGTAATAGCTGAGGGTGCTGGTTAAAGTTCATTTCGCTTGTGATTTCAGAGTCAGGAAGGCAGCTCGTCTTCATGAGGACTTTTTTTTCCTCCAGTGAACAAAATAACTTGTTGCATTATCATGGTCTGGGCCGGCTCGGTCTGCTTCCTTCTTCCTCATCCACCTTCTTGTTAAAATAAGCCAGTGAGTGACCTTTGGAACAACAAGTCACATCTTTCTTTTTCAAGACTCTTTATAATTTGCTCATTTTATTTTTTCCCAATTAAATATAAAAATAATTTCAACCTTGGTTTCTTGCAATCTTGAGTTCCGTCAAGATGCTTTCGGATCAAATTCTTAAAAACTCAGTACTATTCATGACAGCCCCAAACACATGGGATTTTTCATCTTTGTTTCAAGTCATAAATAGAGCACGTTCAGCTTTTCAATAAAGGCCGTTTGGCTGAGTTGTGTGAAATGCGTAGGTGTTAGGCCTAAACGCTGACAGTGTTGTTACCATGCATGATTTAAAAGGACGTTTTCAATCTCCAGTCACCAGCCATGCAAGCTTATCTGTAGCTTTGCCGGCTGAGACACTGAACTCAACCTTCCTCTCCTGCCTCAAGGTTATGTTGTCTGTATTCTAGCTGAGGACATTATAAGCACCTGTAACCACAGGAAAGCAGTGGGCACGTCTCCACGGGGACCTCACAGTCTTTGACTCAATCGATTCTAACAAAGGAGACTGCAAACCTTAAACTCAGACTGACATTTCAGATCAAAAGCCCCAGACAATATTTTTGCAGGTGAAAATGTATCAGGGGCTTATAATATAGAACACTAGACAGTTATTAGAGTTAATCGTTATGTCTGGATATTCCCCATACAGATGATTCAGACCATCAAGACTTTAATTGAAAATGCTGATTCCGTCTACGAGAAGATCGTACAGTGTCAGAAGACGGGTAAGTGCCAGTTGGCTTCTCTGTCTTAATGATAATAATAATAATAATAAGGTTGTGGCCACTGTCCTGTGCATTGTCCAGAATACTGCGGTTTCTTATTTTTTAACTCCACCAAGAAATTTCAGAAGGAAATAAAACTATTTTGCATCTATGTGGAGGAGAATAGCAATCCTCTTCTCTCCCCTGAGTAGACACTGGCAAATCTTGAATTCGTGTTCCAGGATTTCCTGGTACATATTAAGGAAGGTAGGCCACCCACAGCTTGGCAGTGAATGGCCAAGAAGTGATAGCATATTAAAATAGAGTTCGGCAGCATTTGAACTCATTGCAACCTTTGCTAACTTCTTACCAAGGTTTCAAAGTTTGAAATACTATTGCATCTTCAAATGCTGATGTGATTGACTTGATGTTCAGACTTTGCCTTCTCATTCTCTACTGCAGATCTGGAAGACAAATGTGTAGGGAGTGTTGAACAGTGATAAATAAATCCGACTTCACTCTCCTATACCATAAACGTAACCTACCCAATTTCCATATTGTAAAAACTGAGGGGAGGGGTAGGATTGAGAAAGTTTGCCTAATCCAGGAAAAGCAAAAAGACTATTCTTTACATTTTAGGATTTTCTTTGCATTTTAAATTTTGCTTCAGGTGTCAACTTTTTAAAGATTCATTCTAATCAAAGGGTCAGTCAGCTAGCATGTATTAAGCACCTACTGTGTGCTGACCACTGACCAGAGCAGTAAAATCCCTAGTTTTTGTGTGGATTTGCTGTTGTCGTATGTAAGAATTCTGCTGCCTTTGAGGAGAAGGTGGTATGTTAACTAAGCCTGACTGGCTGCTGATGGCACGTGCTTTTAATCCCTGCTGCTTGAGGAGGCAACGCTTGGTGGATTGCTTGAGCTCCGGAGTTCTGAGCTGCAGGAAAGCCAAAGCTGATCTGGTGTCCTCACTAAGTCCGGCATAATTTTGGGGAGCCCTCAGGGAGTGACAGCTGCATAAGGAGGTTGAACCAGCCCAAGTGGGAAAAGTAGGGCAGGTTAAAGATTCTGCAACAGTCATTATTGGGACTGATTGTGAGTGGCTCTGTACTTCCAGTCTGGGTACAGTAGGAACATCCAGTCTGAAAACAAGAACAAAAATGAATCCTAAAACAAGCTTTTGTTACAACTCAGTGTTATGACAAATGAGATCGTTTCTTTAAAGCACTGAGCACAGTGCTTGGGCCATCATAGGTGCTCTATAACTCTATAACTGTCAGCTATTATTAACTACAATTATTATTATTAACTGAGGATTTAGAGCTGTAAAAGGGACCTTTGATGTTCAGTCATTACTCTTCATGAACTCATGGATTTACTTGTCTGTGGGATTTTCTTGGTAAAGATATAGACGTGGTCTGCCACTTCATTCTCCAGTGTGTCCACATTTTGCAGATGCAGAACTGAGACAAACAGGGATTAAGTGACTTGCCCAGGGTCATACAGCTAGTGTCTGAGGCCAGATTTGAACTCAGATCTTCCTGGTTCCGAGCCCCACATCGGTTCCCCATAAGGGACCTTTTTGTTGTCATTGTTGCTGAGTCATTTCAGTCATGTCTGATTCTCTGTGACCCTTTTCCTGCCAAAGATACTGGAGTGGTTTGCCATTTCCTTCTCTAGCTCATTTTACAGATGAGGAACTGAGGCAAACAGGGTTCAGTGACTTGTCCAAGGTCACATAGTAAGTGTCTTAGGCTGGATTTGAACTCAGAACTTCCTGACTCCAGGCCCAGAGCTCTATCCATTGCCCCACCTAGCTGCCCATCTCTTAAGTGAATGGAGGCAGAGGGACTGGTGTGGAGGTGGTTAGAATTGTCTGGGCAGAAGGTAATAAAGGGTTCTGGGTTAGCTCTGACCCCAAGGGAGGAGGCCAAGGAGCCCATGACCTTCTAGGACGTGGCCATGGACTTTACCCAGAGGGAGTGGGGGTGCCTGCAGCCCACCCAGAAAGCCCTGTACTGGGATATGACACTGGAGAACTTTAAGAACCTGGTGTGCCTGGGCCTCACATTCTCCAAGCCCTGTGTGATCTGCCAGCTGGAGCAGGGAGACGCTCCCTGGGGACCAGAGGGTGATGCCCCGAGAATTGACGATGCAGATCAGGAGAGTAAGGCAGAAACCAAACAATCATTTCCCAAGCTGGGCTTACATGTGGAAAAGTCATCCCAGAAGAGACTCACAATGGATGGTCTTTGTGGCTCGGAGTTGGACAGAGCCTGGAAATACAGAACTAGGTTATAAAGTCAGCAGAACAAAGGGGAGAAACCTCACGAATGTAATGAATGTGGGAAAGGTTTTCATTGGAACACACATCTAGTTCAACATCAACGAGTTTATACTGGAGAGAAACCTTATAAATGTAATGAATGTGAGAAGGCCTTCTGCCAGAAGACACAACTTACTTAGCATAAGCAAATTCATACTGGATAAAAACCTTAGGAATATAATGAATGTGGGAAGGCCTTCCGTTGGAAGACACAACTTAGTCAACATCAGAGAATTCACACTGGAGAGAAACCTTATGAATGTAATGAATGTGGGAAGGTTTTCTGTCATAATATGCAGCTTACTCAATATCAAAGAATTCACACTGGAGAGCAACCTTATGAATGTCCTGAATGTGGGAAGACTTTCTGTCAGAACACACATCTTACTGAGCATCAGAGAATTCATACTGGAGAGAAGCTTTATGAATGTGATAAATGGGGGAAGGCCTTCAGTTGGAGCACACAACTTACTGGACATCAGAGAATTCATAGTGAAGATAAACCTTACGAACATAATGAATGTGGGAAGACCTTCTGCTAAAGCAGAGAAATCATTCTGGCCCCTTCCCTTTTCTCTTCCGCAAAGAAACAGCCTCTTGATTTTGTACCTACCCTTCCTTTACCACAGATTGAGCAGAACAACAGAAGCTTCTCATTCTTTCTTTCTTCCTAATGATTGGTCAGGGGTGCAGAGGCCTAGACCCACTCTCCTTGAGTCTCCTCTGTCTCTCCCTAGCCCTCTCCCACTCTCTCTTTGTCTCTCCATCTCTCTCCGTCCTTCTCCCTTCCCTTCAGTGCTCCTACGTCTCTCCACTTTACTCCCCCATTTGTCTCTTGACTTATCCTCCCTCTCCTTCTTTTCTTACTCTCTTTCCTTCTACTATTGCCATGGCAATTGTAGGCCTACTGATTTAGGACAGGTATTGATTGAAATCTACTGTAGACCCCTTTACAGGGGAAAAAACAATGAGGGTCCTGAATGTTTAGGATTATTGCTAAGGATTCTCTTTTAAATGTTCAGTCATTTATCATAGGTTCATGTCACTGAGTTGAGAATGCCCCTGTAGTCTCTTTGCTGGTGATTTCCATTAAATACCATTCCTAAGAGCAAAAAAAAAAAAGGTAATAAAGGTTTGCGTGGCAGCATTGGGGATGGAAAGGAAGAGATAGCAGCACACCTAATTTAATCTGCTGACTTCCTTCCTTAGCATTTGCTCATCACTGCCTCTGTCATCTTTCATTTTTTTCAGCACTTCTTTAAATATTTTTTCCAATTACATGTAAAATCTATTTTTAACATTTAAAAAAAAAGTTGAGTCCCAAATTCTCTCCCTCCCTTCCTCCCCTCCCTCTGCCTCATCTTTTTAAAACATATATATATATATTTTTGTTGTTGTTGTTGTTCTAAACTTTGACAAACACCAACAAACATGAATGTTTCTAAATACAAAGAAGAGTAGAAAAACACAAAACAGCAACCCTCTATTCCTTGAAACTTGGGTTTCTGTTTTGCTTTGGTTTGGTTTCTAAGTATACAGTAAATTCAGAGGCAGCTGTGTCATGAAGGGTAGAGCACTGGTATCAGAGCCACAGAGATCTGGGTTCATATCCTGACTCTGACACCTACTAGCTCGTTAACCCAGGGCCATGCTCAAGGTAACTCTTGAAAGCAAAATTGCAGTGAAGGCCCCCAGCTACATTCCTAGAGGCAGTGTTCTCATCCTGGGGTTCCCAGCAAAATCACAGGTCTGGTCTCTATCCCAATAAGTTCAATTCATATTTGGCTTGGAAAGAGAAAATCAGATGGGATATGATTGTTGTTCAGTCATGTCTGAGTCTTCATGACCCCATTTGGGGTTCTCTTGGCAAAGATACTGGAGTGATTTGCCATTTCTTTCTCCAGCTTACTTTACAGATGAGGAAACTGAGGCAAACAGGGTGAAGTAACTTGCCCAGGGTCATACAACTAATAAGCGTTTGAGGCCAGGTTTGAACTCAGATCCCAGCACCTTATCGACTGAGCCATCTTGTCTCCTGGGATATGATAGCTGTCTTCAAATATTTGAAAGGCTGTCACTTGGAAATGAGACTATATTCATTCTGTTTGTCCCAAGAGGGTCTAACTAGGAGCAAAGAGTGAGGGTACGGAGAGGGTTTTCGGACAGCTAGATGACACAGTGGATAATCAATCAATCAACATTTATTAAACACCTACTTTATGCCAGGTACAGTGCTAAGTGCTAGGCCTGTAGTCAGGAAGATATGAATTCAAATCCAGCCTCAGACACTTACTTGCTTTGTGTCCCTGGGCAAGTCTCTTATCTTCTATTTGCCTCAGTTTCCCCATCTGTAAAATGGGGATAATAGCACCTACCTCCCAGAATCATTGTGAGAATTGAATGAGATCATATTTGTAAAGTGCTTTGTAAACCTTAAATTGCTAAATAAATAGATATGATAAATAATAAATGCTAGTTACTATTATTGTTGCTATTAAATTGCAATAAGGCTTGATGTAAGAGAAAACTTAAACAGTCCCAAAGAGGAATGAGGCTCCTCCCTCTTTGAAGATTTTTAAGCAAAGACTGGATGACCACAAGCCAGTACCTTGGACCAGATTTCCACCGAGGTACATTCTGCCTCTGAAATTCAATAGCTCTGTGATTTCAATATTCTTTTGTCTTCCTCCCTCAT